AGTGTATGAAGAAATACAATCTAAATCAAAGTAATGGAAGTAGGGAGGAGCTAAAATCTTCAGGAACGGGTTATCAATTGACCAAAAAGGAACATGGGTTTTTGGCTTGAGTGAATGACCATCTGATTGACTCAGAGTAGGAAAGAGGAAAATACAGATTCTTGGTTCCTCGTTTCATTCTGGCCCGAGCCTGGATGTGGCAGACATATGGGAAGTCAACTAGATGAGGAAAGGTCTCTTTTTGTCTCCCTTTCCTCCTCCCTTTCTTCCTCTTTGTATGTTTCTGTCACCCTGGGTTCCAAGTAAATAAAAACAAACTTTAAACAGAAATGATTATGGACTTGGCACAATGGCTCATTTGGCTAATCCGCCACCCTGCAAGCTCCAAGATCCCATTCAGGCTCCACCAGCTCATGTCCTAGCTATTCCACTTTCCCATCAAGCTCCGTGCCTGTAGCCTGGGAAAACAGTTTAAGATGGCCCAAAGCTTTGGGACCCTGCACCTGACTGTGAGATATGGAAGAAGCTCCTGGCTCCTGGCTTTGGATCGGCTCAGCTCTGGCTATTGGTGCCATTTGGAGTGTGAGTTAGTGGATGGAAGACAATTCTCTTTGTCTTTCTCTTTATACAATCTGTCTCTCTGATAAAAATAAGTAAATAAAGAAATAGGACCTTTTAAAAAGTTGACATCTGTTTCTCTAGCCTAGAACTACTTTAAGCTATATGTCTGCAGCTAAGAGTTTAGTAATTCCAGCTGCAGGGACAGGCTGCTTCAGAGGTCTGTAAGCATAGGCAGAAGCAATTAAGGAAAGCAATGACTTGAGGCTAGTAGCCCCACTGGGCCCCACTTCTTCATTTATTTTTAAACTACCTATATATTTAATGTTTTAAACTGAATTTAACATCTTACTGTCTCTCATTTGCAATGCATTCAACAAAATCTGAGTAGAGACCAATATTGAATCATGAAGGAAGATAATACTGAAGCAGACCAGTAATGAGTAATGAGAATGAATCAGTAATAAAAATTCTTCCAGCCAAAAATAGTCCAAGGCTAGACAGCTTCACTACTAAATTCTACCAAACAGGGAAGGATGAATATCAATTCTTCCTAAATTATTCTCAGAAATAGAAAAGGCGTTAATTTTTGCAAACTCATTTTACAAGGCCAGCACTACACTGATGCCAAAATTGGAAAAGCACACAACATGAAAACAAAGTCACAAGCTAATATCTTGATGAATACAGGTGTAAAATCTTCACCAAAATACTAGAAAACCAAATAAAACTGTCATTGTTTTTAGGTGAAATGATCTTATGTGCAGAAAATCCCAAGAATCCACTAAAAATCTATTGGTATTAATAAATGGGGCTGGCATGGTGGTATAGCAAGCTAATCCTTCATGTTCAGTACTGGCATTCTACATGGGAGTCAGTTCGTGTCCTGGCTGCTCCACTTCTGACCCAGCTCCTTGCTAATGGCCTGGGAAAGCAGCGGAATATGGTTCAAGTCCTTGGGCCCCTACCCACATGGGAGATCCAGGAAAAGTTTCTGGCTTCAGATCAGCTCAGCTGCAGCCACTGCAACCATCTGAGAGGTGAACTTGTGGATAGAAGATCTCTCTGTCTTTCACTCTCTCTAACTCTGCATTTCAAGTAAAATAATCAAATCTTTAAAAAAAATGAATTCAACAAAATTGCCAGATATATAGTAACTGTACAGAAATCAGTAGCAGAGAAATTTTTGAAAAAGAAATCAAGAAATTAGTTCTATTTCCAACAGCCACAAATAAGTAAATAAAATACCTAGAAGTGAATTTAATTAAAAAGGTAAAACATTTCTATAATGGAAATTCTAAAACACCAATGAAACAAATGAAAAAATGTAATAATAGCCTGTGTTTATGGTTAGGAGAATCAATATCACTAAAATGTACAATACCACAGCCAGCATTGCAGTGTAGAGAGTAAATCCACTGCCAATTTTTAGTCTCAGCTATTCCACTTCTGACCCAGATCCATGCTAATGTGCCTAGGAAGGTAGCAGATGATGCCCTAGCCCAAGCACCTAGGCCCTGTACTTATGTGAGAGACCCAGCTGAAGCTCTGTACTCTGGCTCTGGCCTGGCCCAGTACTAGTCAGTACAGTCATTTGGGGAATGAACAAACAGAAGATCTCTCTCTCTCTCTCCTTTCTTCTCTCTCTGTAACTTTGCCTTTCAAAAATACAAAATACAATTCTTTTTAAAAAATGAAATTCCTCTGATTTACAGAGTCAATGTAGATCCTATGGAACTATGAATCCTATTTTTATAAAGTTATTTTAAATAGCCCACTAAACTTTGTGTGGAACCACAATGAACCCTGAATATCCAAACCAATCTTGAGGAAAAAGAACAAAGCAGAAAGCATCTGACTTTAAAGTATACTACAAAGCTACAGTGTCTAAAACATTAGGGTACTGGTGGAAAAAAAGGACACATAACATAGAATAGAAACTCTAGAAGTAAATCCATACAATCACAGCTGCCTGATACTTGACAAGAGTACTAAGAATTTGCCTTGGAGGGCCTGGCGGCGTGGCCTAGCTAAAGTCCTTGCCTTGAATGCGCCGGGATCCCATATGGGCACATGTTCTAATCCTGGCAGCCCTGCTTCCAATCCAGCTCCCTGCTGGTGGCCTGGGAGAGCAGTTGAGGACGGCCCAAAGCTTTGGGACTCTGCACCCATGTGGGAAGAAGTTCCTGGCTCCTGGCTTCGGATTGGCATAGCACCGGCCATTGCGCTCACTTGGAGAGTGAAACATCAGACAGAAGATCTTCCTCTCTGTCTCTCCTCCTCTCTGTATATCTGACTTTCCATTAAACAAATAAATAAATCTTTTAAAAAAAAGAATTTGCCTTGAAAAAACAGCAGTCTTTATAATCAACAGTGCTATCCACATGCAAAAAAATCAAGCTGGATCATTCCTTCTCACCATGTACAAATCAACTCACTATTTATGTATGATCTGAAGCCACTAGAAAACATAAAGAAGATGCTTCAGGACACTGGAATGAAAAAGAATTGACTGGATCAGACCCCAAAAGTAAAAATAGACAAATGAGGTCTCATGAAACTAAGGAGCTTCAATGCAACAAAAGAAATGATAAATGGAGTAGAAACAATCTACAGAATGAGAGAAGATTTGCATCTGACGAGGGATTAATAACCAAAATATATAAGGAACTGAAACAACTTAATAGCAAAAAAAAGTCCCATAAAACAAATAATCTAATTTTAAAATGGACAGTAGATTTAAATCAAAATTCTCAAAGGAAGACATACAAATGAAATGACCAACAGGTACATGAAAAGAAGTTCAACATCACTAATCATCAGGGAAACGCAAATCAACCACAATGAGGTATCATCTTACTTCAGCAAGATTCGTTATTATTGAAGAAAAAAGATCAGCACTGGTAAAGATATGGAAGAGAAGAAACACACACTGCGGGAATGTAAACTAAAGTCCTTGCTTTGCACGTGATGGGATCCCATATAGCTGCCAGTTCATGTCTCAGCTGCCCGCCTTCCCATCTAGGTCCCTGCTTGTGGCCTGGGAAAGAGGTAGAGGATGGCCCAAAGCCTTGGGACCCTGCACCTGTGTGGGAGAGCCAGAAAAAGTTCCCAGCTTTTGGCTTCAGATCGGCACAGCTTTAGCCACTAGTTTCTATAACACTTAAAATAGAACTGTCTTGTAAGTCAGCGATCCTACTCCTAGGTATGCGACCAAGAGTGACCATTCTGATGAAGAGACACCTGCATCAATCTGCAGGACTCTTCACAAAGCCAGGAAAGGGAGCCAAACTCAGTGTCCATCAACTGATACCTGGGTAAAAAAAAAAGTCTCATAAATACACCGTGGAATACAAAGGCAAAATCCCTTCCTATTTGCAACCTGGAAGGAGTTGGATGTCATTGTCTTAAGTCAAACAAGTCAAATCCCGAAAGAAGTGTACCATGTAATCTCACTCATAACTGGAATGCAAAAACAAAACAAAGCAACAAAACAACAACAAAGCATATCTCACAGAGGATGGGAATAGAATGGAGACTACCAGAAGCTGAGAAGAGCAAGAGGCAGCTCAAGTTGGGCAAAGTTTCTGAACAGGTCTTAAGGTTTGGCCTCCAAAGTTCCCCATAGCATATCTATCCCAGAGGCTGCAAGGGGTAAAGGAAGGTGCCCCATCTACCACCCATGTTTGCTGATCAATTAACTTGTCAATTGAACCTCACAGATTCCACACCCAACTCTTTAGCCAAGTCCTTTAAACTGTAAGGCTCAGTAAATTCATTCTGTAAAGTATAGGAATTTATCAATATGACATCTATGATTTTCTTTTCCTTAATGTTAAATGCAATTATGCTGTAATTTCAGACTTGAACATCGATTTTTTTTTCTCTATAAAATCCATGTGTAGTAATGAAACAATACGAATGATAACAAAAGGAAAGGACGGTTCTGCATTCTTGCTAGCACTTTAAGCTAATTTTAAAAGGAAAATTTACTTTCCCCTCAACCTTGAATCCAAAGTTCATTCCTCTCTTGCTGACAAAAGCCCCTCTGAGATTATTCTTGAGAATTACATTTAGGCTGCTGCATCCTCTGTCAATAACAAAGGCAGGTCACCACCCAAAACCCACATATGTAACTCTGAAAATCATAATTCAAAAAATTCGAAACAAGTACTTGTTAGATGGCATCTTCAGCAAAGCTTTGCTTCTCCTGTTTTCACTTGAACTGATCCCTGTTTTCTAATGCTCTTTTGTACAGTCCTGGGGAGTATTTTGTTGAGGCATTCACATTTGTGAAGTGGTGCTGCCTTTTTTTTTCTGCTCCCACCCACTGGTGGCCCACTCATACCTGCCCTCCTCCCCGCCTGGCTGACTCATGGGCCCAGCCTCCTCCCCCACGCGCTCAGTGACCTGGCACCCACGTCACCACCCTCTGGCTGGTTCTCCCACACGCCTAACCACTGATCTTGTCTCTTCACACAGGTAGACATTTCACACTCCCACAGCTCAGCAAAGCAGAATAATTATCTAGAGGGAAAAGAAGAATAAATTTTTCTAATGACCATTATGGTCTGTGTTTTTTTCCTCCTCTTAATCAACAAGCTTTATTCACAGATGAATAGTTGATAAGTAGTAACTTTATTCTTAGGTTATTATTTTTTTAAATCCCTTCATATACAAGTGTTAGATTTTTCACTTTGGAAAACACTACCAAAATGATTGAGGGTCCTTACTCTTTCAGTGGAAACAGTCACACCCTATCTTTTGCACATATGGGCACATTTTACTCCCTTGTTGAAGAGAATGGGTGTACCAATAAGACAGTGGTTCATCAAGAGGGCTATGTCTGATGATGGGGTCTGAGCCATAGCTGCCATCAACATGCTGCCTCTCAAGATGAATTGGCTTTGAATTATCCTGGAGCAATTCCAGAATCAACATCACGAACAAGGGCAGCCCACTCACCCAAGTCCTCAAAAGGATTCTCCAACTCTGTGGAGCTGATCCCATAGTGGGGAGACCAGCCTCCATCTGCTACTTCTGTGTGTTTTTAAGATTATTAGAAAGACCCTCCCCAAATTATCCTGATATTGCTATGCCTAATTTTCCCGAATTAAGAGTCATTCCTACAAAATCTCCATATGTAAAATATGAGACATGCTGGAGCTTCTTCCTCTTCCTGGTATATTAGGCAGTTTTTCATCTTTATAATAAAGCACCTGAGACAAAAGTACTTATGAAAGCAAGATGTTTGTTTTGGCTCATCACTCAAATTCGAGATCAGGCAGTCTCATTAGCTTGGCTTCTGATGAGGGCAGTGAATGGTGATGGCAGAGCTTGTATGGGGGAAAAATCACCTCGTGTGCTATGAACTAGAGTGCCTGGGCCCAACTTGGGCTTTTATAGCAAGTTTCTCTCCCAAGAGTCACCTTTGACATGCCAGGTGACTTATGGACCTCTTATGAGGCCCCACCCTATAAAAGTTCTGCTGCCTCCCAAACCTTTAACTAGTGGGTCTTAGAAGACATCTGACATCAAAACTAGCATCCAAACCATAGCATATGGTAACTATTTTTATCCCTTTGAAGCACTAAGATTATATGCTACATAGTGTGAACAGAATCTATTGTAAAATATTGTGATTCCAATCTTGCAAAAAATATGATAAGCATATTATTGAATTTTAAGGAGTATACAATGGACTCTGGTTTATATAACTCTTGCTTGCTCACCATCAATACTGATATGACTTCTTTGAGGGAAGGTAGGAGCCATTTCTTCTCTTTTATGTAGCACTGCACCTGACATGCAATAGCACTCAATTCATAGCTAGAAAATGGCTCCATATTCTTGGTAATTTCTCTTGTTAGCACTAAACTTCAGGGCCACTTTTATCCCATTTTATATTTACTACTTAATTTTACTTAAATTTACTATTTAATGTTTACTCTTAATTTTCAATATAACCACTACTTAATCTAATTTTCCACAAAGCTTCATCTGCTCTGTTACATGTTTTATTGTTTTCTATTTTGTATCATATTTCATCTGAAAACTTGCAATAGTTCATATCATAAGCTCACAAGGGCTTCTATGATAGATCTTTGTATGATTTAACTTTATATTCTCACATAAAGCAAAACTCTTCACATGAAAGCTTTTCATATAAAAAGGTTCATACTAGGTGGCTAAGCAAGAAATATTATCTCCTGGCCCATGTCATATCCACATTATCATTAAGTTTCTAGTAGTTAACATATATGAAGGTAGAATGAGAACAAGCATGGCTCTCTTCTTAGAATGGACCAGGAAGAGATGATGTTTCTGTGAAAATTTGTTGGGAAGAGAATGAAGGAGAGGAAACCACAACTGAAAGTGTTAGTGCAGTGGGAATGAATGAAACACATCATTTTGAAGAAACGGAAAGTAACTCAGGATTTGTAGGCAACATATTTGGCAGATAATAGGGGTGAGGTGATGATGTAAAACTTGAGCTAAATTGAAAGTTTATGCATGAAGCTGCCCCAGGCACAGATAACCAGTAGCCAGGCTACTGTGCCCTGCCTCAAAAGGAGAGGAGACACCCAGTAGGCAAGACCAGAACACCAGAAAAATGAGACTTGACGTATGGGAGGTATTAGCCAAGGGCGTTCCCACTGCACTGGGATGGTTGATAATTATCTGTGCCTCTCCCCTGACATACAACCAAAGCACTATAAGTCAGACAATGGACCCACAGGCTAGTGTTTCCCAAACTGTGAGTTATGAAATCATTTGCAATTCATGGATTATGAAATCAGTTTAATAGATCATAACCAACATTTTCATGTGTTGGGTCCTAGGAGTTGGGTTCACAGTTTGAGACAGTTGAGTGATAAGAATGTTTAATAAAGCTTGCAGATTTCCTGAGATGAACAATGGTGTAAGAATATTGAATTGGACAAAGGGTGAAAAGGGAGTTGGAATAAACAGAAAAAAAAATCCTAGTGACTGTTTTGGCCAACCCGACAGGAAGTACTAAAGCTACAATGGTTCTTCAGATTTATCCCAAGTCAGGCCAGAAGAGTCAGGCCTTTAACTCCTGTTGCATACTAAACCGAGTCCTTCAAAATTCATATTCTCAAGCTCCAGTGTCCTTAGAGCTGGTACTCTCGACAGAAAGAGATACCAAAGATGCACACGCATGACAAGGCCATGTGAGGACACGCTGAGATAGTGACTATCTGCAGGCCTCCAGAAAAATCAAGACTGTTAACACTCTAACTTACAGCTTCTAGCCACCAGAACTGTGAGCAAACACATTTCTCTTGTTTAAGTCAGCCACTTTGTGGCATCTTGTTGTTGTACCCCGGCAAGCCAACATATTCCTTGGCATTGGATGTGGCCAGAGTGTGACCTTTGACAAGGCAGCTCTGCTCTGAAGTAATCGTTAAGGGGGCTAAGAACTGAAGATTGCCCACAATCCTCCTTTCATTCTAGATAAGATTGAAGCACTGCAAATTCCATCACAGTCCTATCATTAACTTAAAGAAATAAAACTCAGTAGGTTACATAAAAACATCAGTATATTATATGCAGAAAAATAAATATTGCTTCACAAATGTTTATGTGTGAATGTGTGTGTTTGTGTGTGTTGGGATTTGATGGAAAACACTGTCAAGAATGTTCAAAAGTCACTTCCTGTAGTGGGGATTTGGTGCGACCCTTAAGTCACTGCTTGGGATGTCTGGGTTTGAGTACCTGCTACCTTCTGATCCCAGTATCCCGCTAATGTGTACCCCAGGAGGCAGAAGATGATTGCTGATGGATTTTAGTCCCTATCAGCCCCTTGGGAAACCCAGATGCAGTTTTCGGTGCCTGGCTTCAACCTGTCCCAGTGCCAACTATTGTGGGTACTGGGAGAGTAATCACCCTCTCTCTCTTTCGCTCTCTCGGTCTTTCTCCCTCTCAATTAAGATAAACATAAATCGATAAGTGTTAAAAAGCCATTTTCCCAGGCAATAAGCTAGAGGATTTTCTTTTATGTAAAAGTTAAACAGGCCCATTGAGGAATTAAGATTATCACCTATATCCAAAAGTAAAGCCCATCAAAAAAGTTACCTCTCATAGATCTTTTTGTGGCAAGCTGCCTAGAATAAAAGAGAATACTAGGTTCCAGAGAAATGGAAGCTGTCCTACTTGAGACGGAAGAAAAATCCAAGTGACTGCTGGGAAAGTGATCTGAGCATGGCAGTTTCGTAGAAGTCCAGGGAGCAGCAAGCCCGACTTACAAAGGAGGGCCCAGCCCTCTGAGAAAATAACAAAACCCATGAATGCTTCTTGGGTTGAATGTGGGAGACTGACATATCTGACCGAGAACAGACTATGTATGAATTGTGATAGGTACATGTAAAATCAAGCAAGTAAATAAAACAAGATTGGTTCCAGGAAAGGAACTAATACAAAAATATCAATTATAGCTATGGCATACTACATGTCTTATCTTCAAATAATATTTGCATTTTTCTATTTGTGTAACTAAATAATCTGAGAAAAAAACGCTGTGATACAAGTATACTTGGAGAAAAAGGACACCAGAGACTTTCATAGAAGGGAGTCAGAGATGTTATCTGGAACTAAAATACTAAGAAACAATAATCAGAAGCATGGAGAAGAATCCTCAAAGAAACCACCGGGAGAGCTAGGCATGTGCAGAAACCAAGCTAGATCACGCTGTAAAGGGACCACTTCCTCTTTCTCTGTTAGACTCTGAAGAGCTATTCTGCTTTTATATTCTAAACACTAATATTTTCGTTGAAAAATATAAACAACTTTTCAAAAGAAAAATGGCAATCTATGCATATTTTTGAGATATGGCAGCACACATCCTAGAAGCTGAGAGAAGAAAAGCTTAAAGTCCTAAGGGGAGCAACACTACAGGCAACCACCACTTTGACAATTATTAAAGCAGTTGGCTGAGCAGGTTTGCAGGAATGACGGGGACACTGTTCTGGTTCTTGCAGTTATCTAACTTTTAAAATCCCTCACATCTTCCTTACGGGGGTTAAGGAGTAAATCAGAGAACATGTTTGGAAGTTCTTGGAAGATTCACCAATGAAAGTTCCAGTCTTTCGCCTTGTACAACCCTGGTTCTTCATAATATAAATCCATTCTTTGATCTCTCTCTCTCTCTCTCTCTCTCTCTCTTCCCTCCCTACCTTCCTCATTCTTTCTCTAACATTTATTTATTTGAAAGGCATGGTTACACAGACAGAGACAACATAAGGTTAGATATCTCCCATCTACTGGCTCATTTCCCAAATGGCCATAGAAGCCACGCCTGCACCAGATTGAAGTCAAGAGCCTAGAACTCCACCCAGAGCTCCCATGTGGGTGGCAGGGGCCCAAGCACCTGAGCCATCTTCTGCCGCTTCCCAGGTGCTGTCAGCAGGGAGCTGGTTCAGAAGCAGCAGAGCTGGGACTTGAATAAATGCTCCTCTGGAATGCCAACATTACAAGATTTTGTCAAACCCACAGTGCCATATGCC